CATTGCTCAGATCTTCTAGATGGAACTGGGTCTTCCAAACGTTTGTCTATAAAATCAAGCTTTGAAAAGGAGCAGAAAACCTTTGCACTATTAAAACAAAGCAGAGTGCCCTAAGAACGCCGGCGCAACCATGCCTTTCTGCACCACTATTTCGTCAGCAGTTTTTTCTTCGTCAACTAATATGTTTTTGTGAAGCTATATTGGCTGCACAGGATCAACGCAATAGGCTCTCGTCTGGTTTGAAACCAGTAGCGAGGATGGGTCAAAGAACAACGCCACCAAAGAGTTGGATAGGGAGCTCCGCTGCAGGAATTTACAAATCAACAAACTTTCCGGAGCGTCCTTTAGCCTCACAGGTACAGTCTGCCCTCGGTTTCTACCAAGAAGCATTAGTTTTCCGGATACCGCAATCTTCGCGGCCCTTCTCCTCCACGTCACCCATTATATCCACTCTTCTGGAAATATGAAAGGACCCCTCCGTCTGCTCAACAAGGAGAAACAAACATATTTTGACATGCTGTTTTCTGGCTGAGCTTTCACTAATCCATTCAGGACTTAGACGCATGGCACTATTCATAGTCATTTCAGCAACTGGATTTCCTTAGCTGTATTTCGCCAAAAACAGCTCGATATCGGGATAGCCTGGGATCAGTAAACCGGAAAGAAACAGAAGATATTTCAGATTCCAGTCAACTGAAGGAGTTGTTGCTACAGCCTTCAGCTTCAAAGGTGCCCTTTATCTCAACAACCTAGTCATTTTAAGAAGTAATGGATTTTACTCGCATCCTTTTACTAAGTGCTATTCAGCAAACGCGTTGCTTGTGAGATACCGGATGGTGCGGGGAAAGTCCTCAACAAGCAGCAACTTACACAGTTTTTGTAAAGACAGTTTTTCAAATCACGCACATCGTTTGAGCCCTCATACACAGTTTCTTGATTTGTGACGCATCTCGTCTTGATCTGGGAGTAAGAGCGTTTGACACAAGGTAGTGATATTCAACAACACACCAAGGACGAAAGTTCGAAATGGCTGAACCTCATCGATTGCTGCCGAAAAAAGCTAGGAGGTGTGTAACTCAGGATCGAAGAACCCAGTATAGCTGCAGCAGGCACGTAAGAGCATCTTAGTAACATCACTAGAAAGAGATGCTGCGTTTCCTAGTCGCGATTATTCAAGCAGTCTTGAAGTTAGGGAAGAAACCTTTTGATTTTACTGCTTATATCCTGACCCATTCGGTTCTAGTTCTGTGGCACGCAAAATGATGCGCCAGTGCTACAGCTGGCCGCTCCTGTGCCAGCATCGATACTGAT